GTTGATTGGGTAGTCAGGGTACCGATCCTTGAGATTCCATATGACTAGTGACTTGATCAATGCTGGGCGATCAGTCTGATGATCCTGTTTGTTGATTGGTGGAGATGACTAAGCTTTACGATAGATTGGTTAGGGGGGGGGGTTCGTCTTTATGATGAACCCGGATTTCTTCGTCCCTGTTTCTTCAGTCTAGGACACATTAATGGAAAATTCCTCTTGGGGTCGTTCACAGATTTCGTTCACCTGTGTTAGTCCAAGGGTGCTGGGACATTTAGTTTGGGGATGGGGGTGGGATGGTTATTTGGATCTAACGCCACTTGGATTTTTGTACTTTTAGACTCAGGCGATGACGCTGATAACTGCACTCCGCCTCGTGTCATCTCGGCTGATCTAAGACCGCTCTCCACACGTTTGCAAGTTCTACCCCCTCTATTCTATCCACACTGGGATGCTTGGCGATTTCCACCGTCTCGTCCACCAGTCGCTGTGGTGTGAATCTTAAACCGCATTTTAAACCACATTCTTCAAATCTATCCTATGTCCAGTGTCCAGAGCATGCCCTGTCACTGATTGATCTTTGAATAACGCCTGGTATTCATTCGCGTTTCTAGGAACGCTTATGCTCACCGATTCTGGTGTGCAATTCCCTGGCTGTCTGACCTATATAGACCTTCGTACAGTCGTTACATTTTATTTTGTATACACAGTTCCTAGTCATATCAACCGGAAGGCGATCCTTCAAATGTGCCAACACCGACCGTACAGTTTACCGCTTCTGGAAAGCTACTCTAATGTTATCCGTATTTAGTACCCTTCTAATTACTTCGGATGTCCGTATTTTGTATGGAATGACCGCTGTTCCGATCCACTCCTTGTTGGGCCTTGGTGTTGGCACCAATACCCGTCTTAGTTGCCGCTTACTTACCCTCACTGGGTATCCGCTATCTTGAAGTCGCTTTTTTACCTCAAGTTGTGCTGCTCTTCGGTCGACCTTCTCTGTACACAGTGCTCTCACTCTCCTAAACATCGCTGAAGCTATGCTAGCATATACTGCTTTTGGGTGTGCAGACGAGTAGTTTAACACTGCACCGCTATCTCTTGATTTCCGGTATGCAGTGGTTTTTAATTTCCCATGCAGTCAAGGAAAGCTAGTGTACCCGATGTGGACCCTAGCTCCATGCTAACTTAACTAAACTATCGTAAATCTTAGTCATCCCCACTAATCAACAAACAGGGACATCAAACTGAACACCCAGCACTGATCAAGTCGGCTAGTCATAAGGAATATCACGGAGTGGTTCCCTGACTGCCCTAAAACCCAGTCAACCTACTTACTTACTCACTTAGCCTGACGAAGCTTTTGTGTCAAAAACGAGAAGTTGCCCAGCAATAAATCCACCGATTGTTCACCAAACCCCTCTGAAATGTGAGGCGGCCTTTTTGCAGCACATTCAGATGATGAATATCACAAACCGAGAGATTCAGTCCAGTCTACTGTGAAAAACAAACTGATATGCATCTGGTTGTGTTTGTCGAAATCTTTGGACATTATCAGACATTGGTCTACTGTGGGCATCGCTTAAGAGTACAACTTAGCTGCACCTCGTTTCCTCGCCTCAACCAACCACGTGATTCAAACTTCAACTTTACACTTATTCATAACTCAAGGGGGAAGTTTTTGAGGTTGAGAAAATAGCAGATCATTTAACCAAGCTGACATACAACCCAGAGCTTAGTGACCGTATGGCAACCGTTTGATCATCTGTGATTCTTCTGAATGAAGCATGGGCATACTTCAACTCCTAACGTGTTTTTCCCCAAAAGATAATGTGGGGCACTTGCAACAGATAGCATATCTGTCACCAACATAACGATTATTGCAAAAATAAATTTTGTCATAGTGGGACACTGTTCAGTCTGTGTCAACCGGGCAAACACAGTTTTCATACTGAGCGGCCAAGGAGACGATAAGGCCTTGCATCTTGGAAAATGATCTACTTCAGAGATGAAGGCAATGATAACATCCACGGTTCGTCAGCGTTTGCATTAATGTAGATCGTCACTGTCGCTTGAATTTCAGACAGATTAACGATCTTCAGATTCATGAAAAATTTCCAGATGGTCATTCAACTACTTACGAGTAACCCAAAAGCTAACAAAATAGACCACTTCACTTCAGTCCAAAGGCACGCGGTGCTTACCTTGCAAAACACTAAATCGGTGAATCTTAAGAGTATTGGAACAGGAAGGGAAACTCAACCCCATTCCGAATGGATGGATGTAACCAGTTAGGACATTCTTCCATTCAAATAATTTACTTAATTTTTCTGTTACTGCGATTGTTAGGCTACGAATAAGCGTAATATTTAATAACGGACTAGGATAAGAAAAAAGTCTTAGTAGAAAAGAACTTGACTTAAAGAAGCCATAAAAAAGTATGCATATCCTACGAAAACGTTTGAGGCTATAAATCCAAATCGTAGCTCCCGTTTGATGCAGACTTTACGAGTTCCACTTTAGATTTAAGTCCTGGGTTTTTAGTGAATGTCATCCTACATCAACAAGTAGGACCAGCAGTGTTTTCAAAATAATCTTACGATTGCCGAAGGATGTACATGCACTCTGGGTCAAAAGTGGATGGATACGATCATAAAACTAGCCAATAAGAGGCAAGAGCTCCCCCTAAATGAACTGATATAAAAATTCCAAAAGTGGGAAAGAGGCGCGAAACGTCATTTTGTGGATAAGTGAATCATTCCACTGAATGAGAATGCTACTCTCTATTCGGGCTGTTCCGTTTTGCGCCTCCGTTAACAAGTCGGCTAAAATTTCGAATGACTTCGGAGTGATCTTTTGAATGACGCTTTTCGGGGGAATCACATGCCAATTTTGAAGTCAACAGACTCAACAACTTTGTCCCCTGAACTAGTGAATGTTTTCTCACGTTGCGGTTAGCTGTAGTTTGCGATACGACGCATTGGGTAAGCTAGAGATTGTATCTGTATTTTTCTACTAGATCGACTACGCGGGTTCGTAGGTGGTAGAGTTTTGGATGAGGCTTAGGGAATGGCTAAGAATGTGCCTGAATGGATTCATTCCCAAAAACCTTTTGCAAACAGTTATTTTGCCGCTCTAATAAGCCCATCATCTAGTGACGAATAGCTTCACGTCTGTTATTATATTGGAGCGCAGTGTTGACTATTTGTTGGGTCGCAATTGCGACAAAAAATAGACTAATATGACGCCTGAAAATGAACAGAATATCTACCAGTTCTTGAGGTCACAGGGTCTTTCACAGGTTTGTTTTTCTTTGGGGCTCGTCAGGTGGGAATAATCAGTTTTCACCGGTTATAGTTTCCATTTGAACATAATTTGCACGTAAGTAGATCTATCCTGTCAACTCGAGAACTAAGCGGATTACGCTGAAACACGGAATTTCTTTTCTGCAGCACATTTGGTTGTGGAATATTTCAAACAAAAGACTCACGTGAGTCGCTCGTTAACGACAACTAAATTTCTAAATTAATTTATATCTCAAGAGGGCGGTTCGGTGCTTTGGCTACAGAGATTTCCCACCAGAACGACCCATTTTGCGACCAGCGGAAGACGAGCACCTGAGATAGTGGTCATTCAGACGCCTTCATGTACGCATGTTGATTTCAAGCAACGTCTAGTGTCTGTGTTCTGATTAGCGTATCCGCATCGCATTGATTCCTTGACCTACTCACGAGTAGTATGGAAATTTGTAATTTTTCAACGAAATCTGTAGTTAGACTAGCATTTTATTATGATTTTTAACGGCACACGAAGTTTTGACACTGAAAATTCCACTATTTCCCCATTTCCCGTTTGTTTTAAAGGTGATCCACGAGTGCAATCCCCTTTCACCTCACCAGTTACAGGCAATTATGACCTGCGAGATGTACTGTAGCCAAGTGGATTTTTACGGATTCCGTCACCATGGTCGTCACCAACCATTTTTGTTTTGGAAGAAGAAGTACAATGGGACTGGACTGAATCCTTTAGCGCGGGTACGAAGCACCTATTTAGTTTTGTTCAGAACGTTATGAACAATACATCTACAATAGGGCACATGACGTACCATTAACAAAGACAAGTGTGTGAATGTTCGTGTGCAAAACACTAGAACCGGGCGCGCCCATGAAAATTCGTCGAATTGAAGTCGTTCAACTGCCTGGGTGCAGTCAAAATTTTCAGCTGTCTCACCCATAATGATGAAAGCGTCCCCACCGAAAGCAGTAGCATTCTTTGTCTTCTTGGAACAACAAAAGGCGACAGGAAGTGACAGGAAGTAACGGACACTAAGGAATTCTCTATGTTCGAAGCCTTCCTCAGTAGGTCGAACTTTATAGCCACGCCCATGAGTGAAGGATTTGGGGTCTTGATCATGGTGTATGCCGGAAGCAGTTAATCGACAGTCAAACCCAACTCATGTACTGAGCTATTTGGGTCAAGCGACTTACATGCTATAGGCAAAACAAACGCAAGCAACTTCATAAATTTCAAAGAATTAAAGGCGCTTGTAGTAGTGAAATTGCAAAGCACTCGTCACCTTTTTTAAAGGCGACCCTATATTATACAGACTAACAGATTATTCTCGCGCATAGCAAGGGCAATTCAATAGAAAGTAAAAAAACTCAAGGTTTTTCAATTCATAGGAGAAGGCGCGATGCCACTCTCCAAGTAATTGCCTAAAGTTAAATACGGCTAAACTTAGAACGATACTATCAATCCAGATGTAAATTAGCGGCCGAGTAATTTGAATAAGTTTGTTTCATAAAGCTGGAACACGCTAAATCTGTCGTCTTCTAAGGGCTTGTCATTTTTGACTCAGTGACAAAAGCAGTCTGAAGGATCTTTCTTTAACTTGATGCGTGGGTTATTTCTCTGAGTGCATAATTATAATTAAAACTCAACCAAACACAGAGAAATGACGGCTTATAACGCACACTCTCCATTACGGAGGAGAGTTTAAGTCCATAGTTATACCGGTGTCAGCTGTACAAGGTAGGTATGAGACTATTACAAAAATTTATACAGAAATTAAGTGCGACAGAGCGCGTATAAAAACATCAAATTTTTGGGACAAAATTGTGAGTGCATGTGAGATTCATTTTCCAAAACGTCGACTGCTTTGGAATCGCACATTTGTAAAGCTCATGGACGATTGGTGAGCTTTTCTTGGGAAAGGTTATCCGAGGCTGCTGTTTGAACAGACTTTCTGGGAACAAACGTCACCGATTTGTAGTATCATTCCTTGTCAGATGCAGACTCCGCTGCCTCCAACTCTGATTCGATTTGTGGTTGGAAGAAAGGATTATTGACTTCCGAATAGGGAGGCTGTAGTGGAAAGCGAGTGAAAGAAAAGGGTGCTACAAAGAGAGAGAGTCATCAGAAATCGTCTTAATTTTACCCTAACCATTCACGGATTGCCAGTACACCTGACCCAGTTAGCCCCAACGTGATATGTGTAACTAAGACTCAACGTACCCAACAATCCATTTATGGGGTTTTGAACGTTATTTCGAATTTCTAGTTAATTCAGCCACATTATGTTTACCTTAAAGTTTTCTTGTTCCAGTTTGGTTTTCTAACGCAGACATTTCTTGCATAGTCAACTTGTTTAGCCTTGAGGCATTCCCACTCAGACATGTGTTTGTCTGAGTTTGAATAAATTAATGTTAGTACATCAGTTTAGCACCCATCTGATAGGAAGGAAAAATTTTGTCTCGCTCAGCTAACCATTCATTCTGAAAGCACTAATTGCTGCCTTTTAAATGTGTATTCGGTCTCCTCTAAGCCGTCTCGTTGGAAATGACCAAAAGTCAAAGGTTTCACAGATCGGGGACTGTATACCACGATCCACAACATTTTGTTCATCTTCTAGCTGGATTTTTCATGAATTCCTTTTCCCGAAAAAATGACCTACTCATCCTCTACGAAGTGACGATGATTATCCTCGCCCTTTCAGCACAATTTATGCTAGTGCTGATGATTCATGGAACAGGTAGTCTCCTGTACTTGCTCCTTATCTCGGCGATACACAAAGCATTAACATATCCAAAAACTAAGCATTGGGCTAAGCCTATAACGACGAAAAATTGGACATTCGAATTGTGGCCATCGAGATAGTCGATCATGTGTTTTGAGGTTATCAACAACAGCTGGAGTATTACTACACGAATTTCGCTTTGCATAAAACTCACGACCATTGGTGGTGGGAAGTGGACTGCCCCGTGATCTTCGATACGCGTCTCCTGCAGATACGATTCTTCCGGTCCATCTTCAAACTGATAAGCCGCACTACTAAAATAAGATAGAGACAAGTACAACGATGTCCATCAGTTACATCTATCGCCCCGACAGACATAATATAGACAAAATACACGTCTGCTTACATTCAAGTACAAACGCTCCATCGTTTCAAAAAGGAACGAGATGTGCGGAATCAGGTACACATATGTGCACAAATAGCTTCTTTAGTTGGGTTGCGAGGAGCGCATTTAGGAAGACAAATCCTAATAACAAGTACTGTGAGCGTGGTCGAAATTGAATTGGAACACGGAAACGAAAAGATCTATTCTACAGAGACAATATTCAGTGAGGTTTGAACAACTGTAGGTCCATTGTAAAAAACGAAAGTCACACAAACGCATTTTCCCAAAAAAGACGTATTTGGGCTTGACGATTTTCGGAACATGGAAAAAATCTATGCCAAATTATAAGTGGGAAGTTCTTTCGGAAGGCAGGCAGCAGTGACCTTAAAATATTCTTTGGATTTTGAACATGACTACAAGAACAAGATTGACTTTCTCGTGATGGATCCAATGGTTGTTTCAGACGGACCTTTTAGCTAACGCCTAATCTCAGAGGAATTACTCGGAACAACCGTCATTTGCCGTCGAACTACAACCGTCAATCAAAATTACCCTAGATATTCCTTAGACAGCCCTCAGTAACCGCCAGTTTATGTCATGAGTCAGTTATTTGGAAAAAACGTGGTAAGGTGACGACGCAGAATGACAAGTTCAACTATTCACAACTGTGAGGCCAGCTATTTGTTGATACTGATCTTTCTTTATCGCAATGTGCTAACATATGGGTGCATTCGGCTGCATGCGAGGAATTTGCGTTATCGCATATATTTTTGACTGTATCAACTAATATTAACGAGCAAATCCTCATTTGACGTTCACGACGGGTAATGATCAGTCTTCATAACGTTGGTGTTTCACGCTTTAAGAATGCATGCAAAACTCTCACGAACATAAGAATCGTTAGTATGCCAAAACATCAACGAACCCCGCGATTGGTTTTAACTTGTGTAACTTTTGGATATGCGACGTAGCTCCGAACCTACCAATCACCAGTCCAAAGATAGTATGAGCTTATTATTCAAACAAAACAAAACAAAAACATGATATATAGTACTAAGAATTGTGCAGGCTACCGACTGGCGCCTGTGAATGAACTCTTTGCCGTGTAATAGTCCTTGGTGAAGTCCCCCATAAGTTCACGAGGTCCTGAATATGGAGACCCAAGGGTGACAGTAACTGTGCAGGTGACTGGATGACCTCAAAAACTGTGATCTGTCACCAAGAGTTGCATCATTAAATGTGAAGCAGTCTAATAAAACAGTGGAGCGACTTCGAGGGTTCAGATCCCCTCAATCAGAAAGAGACTGTAGTTACATAGTCAGAAAGCCGTTCATAAAAATACTCCTGAAATCTTAGACCGGTAATGTAATAGTGACAAAGGACATCATGTATAAATTCGAGAACGTGAAGTGAATGAAAATACTATGCTGTACGAAATGATTGGATAAGCACCTGACTAACAAATAACCTTCACATTTCGGCCGAGGGGGACTGTGTTTTTGCAACGACTTCATACCTCGGTGCTTCGATTGGATCACTGTTGGTGCTACACTTCATGAAGGTAATTTGCGACCACCTCCAAATAATCAAATTAAATAAGGTTCTACAGCCTGTGACAAAGCGTTAATTTTTTAAAAATACAAAGTGGCATGCGATTTCGGTATAAGGATCGTGTGGCTGTAAACATTTTCGCCGCCTTTCATCAGCCAACTTGACTAAACTAAACTACGCAGTCACCCTTGTTCAAGGTGTAAACATTCACACCGACCCTCGGTGTGTTTAACCAAGCTTGCTCAACAGTGGATGTCTCCGAAGCTTATCCTTATCTTCTTCACACACTTCCGGGCATGTGAGAGTGCATGGAGAGCACTCTGAAAGCTTCCCACAAAACTGGTGTGAGGTTAGCAAGTCTACAGTTTCCATTTTTGTTCAAACCCATCATCAATGAAATAATTATGCGAATACTTGGGGTTTTCAAGGCTCCCAGTATTCAAACCGTTGCTGGCGATCTGCAATATGCAGAGTTCTCGTTCTGAAAATGAAGACCAGGCACAAATGTGTTTAACACACCGAAAAACATCACACTAATTTCCGACATGTGCCTTGCACTTACAAAATGCAAAGTCATATCTCGGAACATGTGGCTGCCAGACGTATCCCTGCTATTCGAGGAAAAGCGCGAGAGATATGGAGAATCTCGCATACCTCGTCAGTTGTATTAGCTCTGACAGAGGTGCGCCTGATGAAGTCAGTGCAGGCCTAGCGTTTGCCACCTTGCCTCACTTTTGGTGTCAGAAAGCCATATTACTTAGTCTCAACAATCACAAGTTCCAGTTCCCACGAAGGGCTATATTACGGTACATTGGAGAGACATGGCCTCTGCGGACCGATGACGTGGGGCGTCTTCAGGTGGCTCATCACCGACGTCTCAATAGCGTTATTGGTATCTGGTGACGTCGACGGATACGCAGCGCGGTGATAAGAACGCAGGCACTTGGTTGTGCAGCAAGCAATTCATTTGAGGAAAACATCCAGCACTACCAGCTGCGGTAGCTAAGCCATGTACTACGCACGCCGAAACATCGCCTATCAAGGAGAGTATTATTGTTTGTGGGTCCTTCAGGCAGACGAAAAATGTGGGTGACTTGGCCGAATGGTGTGCAAGCAATAAGGGACAGTTCCCTTCAGTAGCGTCCGTGCTGTTAGTTTCATCCTTCAATGTTGATCGAGCATTAGGAGACGCTGGCATTTCAGAGAGTTTGCTGTAGAATACCATTACTCCTTCGTCACTCATCAAACCTAATTCCTTCTTCACTTGAACGCTTTACGTGTGGCTGAATGGACGTACGGCAGTGACGCATATTTTACTGTCCATGATGATGGTAATGATGATGTACATTTTCTTGGTCTGAAAAAGGAGATGCTCCCACTCATTTTGTCTGCCCCTGTGTGCTATTTTATAAATGCCCTCTTTCCACTAGAAGAAATCCTTTAAAAATGTCTTCAGATTTCCGCGGTGGAAAGTGCTGTGAACTGCTACGAAAACCTCTATGATTACTGTACCACTGACACAATATACAAATCCCTATATTTATAGTAGGTGCGGGATCCATCTCCAAAATAATATGTATCTAGCCGACAAGTCAGCAAAATAAACTGGACAAATAAAGAACGCAGTAGCACAGAAAGAAATTGGAATAACCCTTTGAAAGCCAATACGTCTCCTAGCACAATAGCAACAGTTATCTTCTTAAAAGAAAGGCGCGAACAGTCAAGCAAAATTTAGAAAATCAGACAACTTAGGCGAAGATGAGAAGGAATCAGTCAACTTATTGAAAGTAAACTACGAAATATAGAAACCGCCTTAAAAGTCATTCAAACGAATGATAAGCAGAACACGACGCAAAATAAATTGGAAACCGAGGCAGAAACAAAAGTCTTAAGACAAAAGCAGCTGAACGCACCAACTGAATAAAGGGACTACGGAAGAAGAAGAAAATGCGATACAAATTGAACCGGCCCATCGGATTCCGATCAGAGTGAGTTCCAGTAGACCAGTCAAGTAGTTCTAAAAGCCATGTAAACCCGAGCGAGTAAGGAGGAAGGGCATTTCCGATTGCGCACCTCTGATGACGGAACGTTTGCAAGCCAATCCCAAGCTTCAGCAGACAGACCGACTAAACGCAAACACACCCTACCTACCAGTATCATGGCACATTTCCAGGCTATTGAAGAGCTTATTGGCTCCCTTCATATACATGGGCTTCCCACAATTGCAACTGCACGTGAATGCAAAGTACATTTGCAACTAAGCACACTTAAGTATATGTGCTATACTGGTATGGTCATATTTTTACATAAAATTTATCAGGACACAAAACCAAACATCGATTTGTAGATAGTCTGATAAAGGACAAAGCGATTTAGAAGTTTTTGGCTTTCTAACCTTTCCACTGGTAGTTTTCGCTGTGGATACATGTACTTCTGTTATACGTGACCATGAGTTGTACCCAATGATTGTGAACTGGGTCGAAGTGAGAAGTCTCATCAACTGACGTAAAATGCATTAATTTTGCCAGCAATCTATAAGGAACAGAGAAGGTAGTTTGCTTACGTATTCCAGTTTCAGAAAACCAAAGCTCCGAACATTCACGTCGGCTTCACAGTGGACTGTTAGCCGCATGCACTACCCAATAATCACATACTACCTTCAAAATGAATTTTACCTATCCTTAGGTACGTGCATACCTATTACCCGGATACTTTTAGCTTCTCTGAGTAAACTAGTAAAATAGATTCATTAGATTGGAAAGTCATGTCGGCTAATTAGGCATAGTCAGATATCACGGAAAACCGTAACGTGATCCAGCCTGAATGAAAAAAAACATTGGTCTTCGGTGCTCAGAATGAGTACCAGCCAGGTGAGGCTAATCTGATACTGCGTACTCTTACAACTCATGATTTTGTGGTATGAGTAAATGGTCTATGTGGACACATATAGTGCGTGAATAGTGTTTACTCGGGTGGAGTTATTGGCAGTTGACCGGATGGCCACCGAACTTCGCAACGGACTTGCAAGCGTTTCGTCACCACTTGGGAGACATCATCAGCGGGCAGTTGACAACATCTCTGACGTGATGAAACGTTTGCAAGTCAAATGACAGGCTTGGCAAGCAGATCGGAAGCAACCAGGTCAATTATCAGTTACCGAAAGTAACTTTTGCAAAACAACTATTAAAGTGGGACAGCCAAATACTGACACTGGAATTCCACATTCAACCAAACGTAGCACACCAACACTTTCTTTCTCTAAGGTTCCAGACTAACTGATCAAAGAATACTGCATTCACAATATGAGGCTTCCGTGCGCACCAGAACCACAAAAGAGTCATCGAATAGCCGATGGCACTTTAGTGTTACTTTCGTTGT